CATTTATTCCATGATTTCATAGTCCTGGTCTTGAAATCTTGATTCTCATTATGTTGCAAGGAAATATGCACTTTTTTGTTGTTGGAGGTGATGGTGGTGGTGGTACGTATGACTGAGAAGGTTGCTGTTTTTTTCTTCTGCATGCTGAATCGTACTGTAGCTGGATAAGCAGTTTTGAGTCATAAATTTATATATAATTCTGTAGAAGTCTATTACCTTCCATTACTAAGTGTTGCAGAAAAGTCTGACGACAAGCTGACTGCCACTCCCTTCGTTTTTGTTTGTTGTTCCTTAGGTTCCCTCTCCCCTTCATTTTAAAATAAAAACAAACAACTTGAACAAAGTGTGGCCAGATCTTGGTCTCTGTTCATTAATTTCACCTGGTGTTCTGAGACGAAATTATATAAAATGAGGATATTTCCTTCGATTTCATCTGCTAGTCTGGGTTCCTTACAGTTCAATCTTCTGTAACTCTTCCCTATTTTTTTTTTTCAATTTTATAATATACAGTTCACCTTTGAAAAATCGAGAGTTAGGGGCTCTGACCTTGGTGCAGTTGAAAATCTGTGTATAACTTTTGATTCCTCCAAAACTCACCTACTAATAGTCCACTGTTGACTGAAAGCCTTACTGATAAAGCCTTGCTGCTTTTTTGCAGCACTTCATAATTAATAATAGAAGGTAATAGATGAATGTATACAGAATTGTATATGTTCATGACTCAAAACTGCTTATCCAGCTAAGGTACGATTCAGCATGCAGAAGAAAAAAACAGCAACCTTCTCAGTCATACGTACCACCACCACCATCACCTCCAACAACAAAAAAGTGCATATTTCCTTGCAACATAATGAGAATCAAGATTTCAAGACCAGGACTATGAAATCATGGAATAAATGACATGTATATAGTTGCTGCTATTGTCTTAAAACCAGATGTTAAAATTTTTCTAAGATTCTACCTATGGTAGAAAAAAGTTAATAATATTCTGCATCAAATACTCAAATCAAAAACACAGAGGAAGCTGTATAAGAAAGCATAGGTAAATGTTTTATTCTTCACACTCCTAGAAAATATATATTTCAGAACATAGGAAAGAAATGTGATCAATGCAAAAAAAAAAAAAAAAAAAAAAAAAAAAAAAAAAAAAGATAAGCATGACAAAATGTTAAACAAATATATTACAATTACCAATAGATTTAGACTTTTGTTGAAAGGTAGAAATTACCATGCTGGGTGAAAAACAAAATCAAACCATTTAGTTTTTTAAAAAGACAAAGCTAAACAAAATGATACCAGTTTAAAGTAAAAATATGGTAAAGCAATAATAAACAAAAATTAGTTTAAAAATATAGGGTGGCCATATTTTTAAAACAAGACCAAATTCAAGGCAAAGGCTTTAATCTGGTGAAAAAGGGTAATTTATATTGCTAAAGGTGCAATCCGCCCTGAACATTTAACAGCCATGAGCCTATTTGTATTGATTGTGTAGAATTAAATTACATAAAACAATCTGGAAAAGAAAATATGGCCTTGGTATCAAATGTGGATTCAAGGGAAACAAGTAAATAAACATACAAAGTGAAGAATAAGGAAAGAAAAATGGACTTGGGAAGAGGCAGAGGCGGAGGCAATATGCTGGCTCAGAGTGGCAGTAATGATGATCTACATCAAATTTTCAGGGAAAATTTGGGGTACACCATCAACAGTTTTTGTCCCTGTGTTAGCTAAGGTGCAGAGTTGATGAAACAAGTCAGAGGTCAGCCCACAGGTAAGTTGTGTGTGTGTCTGTTTACTGTATTTGAACACCAGTTTTCCACAATCCCCACCATCTCTTTTGTCTTCTGTGGAGCTACTTGGGGTCCTTTACATTGTGCCCCTGGCCTCTGTAGACATTTCAATTTGTGACCCTGGCATGAGGTTAGGGAAATGGCTAAGGTTAGGGAAATGAGGTTAAGGAAGAGTGACTGTGAAGGTTGTGAGTCCAAGCAATAAGAGAATAATTGTAGTTCAAAAAGTAATAATTGTATATACTTAAAAAAGGTTACAACGGAAAATTCTTAATATGTTTTTTTACCACGTTAAAATATGAGTTTAGAAACCTAAAAGAAAGAGTAACAACTGGGGCGCCTGGGTGGCTTATTCAGTTGAGCGACCGACTTTGGCTCCAGTCGTGATCTCGCTGTGGGTTCGAGCCCCGTGTCGGGCTTTGTGCTGACAGCTTGGAGCCTGGAGCCTGCTTCGGATTCTGTGTCTCCCTGTCTCTCTGCCCCTCCCCCACTCATGCTGTGTCTCTCTCTGCCTCAGAAATAAATAAACATTAAAAAAAATTTAAAAAAGGAAATAGCAACAATTATGAATCTATGGAAGCATTTAAATGTGTTTGTCTTAAAGGGATTGTATTTATTCGTCTGCGTTCAGGTTGGTTCATATTATAAGTAATGGCTTACTGAGACATTGATACATCACTATGTAAAAATTTCCTTTAGTTTTTAGAGTGAGGAAGTCAACTTTAATTAAAATACTGTCTCATTTCCTCTCTTTTCGGTCTTGAAATTTTTGTTGTTGCTCTAGTTTATGCTCATATCACCTTCATTTTGTCACCCTAATTGGAAAATTTTAGTTTTTGGTTTGCTATCTGATTCTTAAGTGCCACAAAACATAATAATTACGTATTTTACCCTCATAGAAACATAACGTTCAGCTAGCTAACTAGCATGAATAATCCATCGCTGAGAATCAGTAACCATATTTGACAAACCAGAGTAATTGCTGTCTTGACACAAGTGAAGACAAGCACTTGATTGTAAGGCTGACAGCTTAAAACCACAAGTTTATTTCACTGTATGTATTGTTTAATAGTACACCAGCTGATATTTTAAGAAACGTTTTCTTCTCTTTCCCCTTTAGAATAACTTGAAAATGAAAACCTTTAACAGGAAGATCTCATTTATCAAATGGATCCAGAATTCCTACCAAAACAGCAAACCTTAGAACCCAGGAAGTAAGCTTCACAACTCAGCCAAATTTGTTGCTCTGAAAGTCACTTTATTTGTTAGGCCCTTATGCCCTACTCAGAGCCTGTTTACTTTTAATAAACTGTTTAATTGTTGACTATTTAATTTGTATGTATAGACAAATTAAAAAGAATTCAATGACGTAAGCCGTCTCAGTGATACAAATGGGAGGAAAAATATAAAACTAAAAAAAAAAAAAAAGCGTCGTTGTGAGAAGGGCACATGTCTTGACAACTCAGTGAAGAGATTTTGCTTAAGCCAGACAGAAAATTGGAGATGTGTGAAATTGCAAGTGCTTTTCCTGCTGAATGTGCTTACCAGGAAATGGTATTACTGGGGTTATCAACAGTCAGAATATGGTGATAGGTTGTCAATGGCATTTTCAGGCTGTCAGCTTGATTGTCAGGGTAGAACTAATTGGTAAAGGGTATGTAGCATTAGTGTGTGTGATTTATTTTAATACCTTTAGCATATATAAGGTAATAGAGGAGCCTCTAATGTTAACAAAAGATTACTTTTCATATGTGAAAGGGCAACATTTTAGTACCGTATACTGTCCCATGATTTAAATTTTGTTCTAAATTGTGTTTGTACTAGGCTGAACTTCATGAAATTGCCAAGATTTGACTCTTTTTGACCTACCAGAAAAAAAAAAAGAGAGAGAGACAGAGAGAGAGACAGAGAGAGACAGAGGCACTTCACATGATTCAAATGAATTCAGCGGCTCTGCCAGCCTACCTACATAGTATTGTTCCAAACTGGGAAAGTGTTTTTCAACAGAAACTGAAATATAATTTTGTTTCTAGGTGAGTAATAAACGTGCCTTGTGTCCCTTTTTTTCTGCCAGGCCCACAAGGATGATCATTTTCTCCCTTTATCCTCCCACGCCTTACATGTATTAGAATTTCCTAGAGCTTGGCCGTAGGCCATCTCCCCCACACTCCTCAGGAAATCTCATCCGTTTTGATAGTCTTAACTATGCTGACAATTCCCAAATATATCTCTGTCCCTGACCTGTACTCTGAACTCTAACCTTATTTATTTAACAGCTTCCTTAACTCCCAAAGTGGATGTCATGAGGGTATTTCAGTTTTATCTATCCAAAGCAAAATTCCTGATGACCTTCTCTTACCCCTCTCTGTTTTTGATCCAAACTTCTCCATCTGGAGAAGGGCACCTTCACCCACCCAGTTGGTCTAGGAGAACCTGATAGTCATTCTTCCTTTCTGTTACCTATGTCCTATCCAGTCTCCCTCTTGATAAGAATGTCCAGAATCTGTCTGCTCCTTTTCTACCTACATCAATGCAGCTACTATCTCCTTTCACCCAGATTCACCTATTCATTGTTGTAGTAGCCACTCAATTTGTCCTTAGGCTTCTACTCTGTGCTCCCTATAATCCATTCTGTAAATATGAGCTTCTTAAATGGTTCTACATTGAGGAGAAAATACAGCTTCCTTGCTGCCAACAGGGCCCTATATGATCTGGCCCCTGCCTACTAAGGCCGGCCCCCTCTTTCCCTTTTGTTCACAATTTCTTTTAATTCTTCACAGTCACAAAGCTCTTTCCTGCCCTCAGGCTTTCATATTTTCCCTCTGTCTGTAATACTGCTTCTCTCTTTAACTCTTACTTATCCTTCAGTCCTCAGCCTAAGTGATCCTTGCCCAGAGAGGCCTCCCCTGATTCCCTCTCCAATATGAAGTGGGCCCCATGAATCTTTCATATAGCACATTATGTTTTATTCATTGCACTTAAGACAGTTTGCAATTAGATATTTGCACAAATATTTGTTTGGTGTAAACTCCGTGACACAGGGCCCTTGTCTGCTCTGCTTACCATTGTGAGGGCCCAGAACATAGTAGATGCTACCTGCTTAAAGTGAAAAACGGTCTTTTTTGGATGTTTGTGCTTGAAGAAAACCAGATTGTTCAGACGAGGTTGTGATAGGAGAGTCCTCTGGAAATACGGTATACGACATGGGTTGTTCCCAGATCTCATCGTCATTTGGTGTGAGTTTACACAACTATTCTGAGCTCCTAAATTGTAAGTTTCTGAAAGCAGATACTTTGTCTATTTTGTTCACTATTGTATCCCCAACACCTAGAAAAGTGCTTGGTAAAAATTAATAAATATTGATTCAATGAATGAACTGTTTCCTCTTTTGCAAAGTTCTTTTCTCATGACATGAAGATTGAGAATGAGGGACAGTGAGGTGGGTGCATTAAAATACCCTCCGAGGCTTTTTTCAAACTACCTAAACTTCACTCTCCTCACCTCCATTGCCTAATACAGACTGGCTGTACTTGAATATATTCCATTCCTCAGATGTGCTGAAGCAAAGATTAAGAAACACCTGCCTAGAACCAACGTCACTGGAATAATATCTGATAAATGAGGGCTGTATGTCAGAAGACTGTTTACGTTGTTAGTCAAAAATGTGTGTGTGTGCGCGCGTGCGCGCGTGTGCGTGTATAACTGCATATGTGTGGAACCACATATATATGGAATGGCAATGATTATATAGTGGTGCTACTGTCTTTCTGTTGGAGAGAAATACCAGAATGTGTGCTTGATAGAGCATGCCTCTGGGTCTATTACCTTGGATTTAATTCTAAAGACAGTTGCTAACCCATAACTTTTTTTAAAAAGGGAGGGAGGGTAGGAGGGCAGGAGAGTAGATTTCTTTCTCTCGGAAATCATGTATTAACCTTAAAGCTCCTTTTTCAAGGGAACTATTTATACTTTCAATGACAGTGATCGGAAGAGACTCCGTTATGCCACATTTACCTTTGTTTTATGTCAGTTTAAGCATTTGTGAGCTCTGCAATCATTTTTATATCAGTTAATTAGGCATGAAATCCAGGCAAGAGAGAGGGATGAAGGTTAGAATCACCACAGGATGTCCACAAATCCCAGAAATTGGGACAGTGGGAATTCATCAACCAACGAACCACACATCCCGGCCGGACTCCCGGCTACGGAGACACAACTTCAGCAATTGGAATAGATAGAAGTGCCTCTTAAAGCCCTCTACTGGTCTGTAATTGTAAAATGTTTACAAGCATTTGGATTATTTATGCGATTGAAATATTTAACCAATTCAAAGTGCCCTACTTCTGTGAAGCATATATTTTCATAAGTCATAAGTTGCAGTTTCTAGCATAAATCTGTTCTCTCCTTACTATATGGAGGCTGTTCAAATTGGAATATTTTAAATGTCAACATAGAATAACATTAAGGTTTATGACCTGGCTTTAAGAAGATCCGCAGTTCAGGGACGCCTGGGTGGCTCAGTTGGTTACGCATCCGACTTCGGCTCAGGTCATGATTTCACGGTTTGTGGGTTCAAGCCCCGTGTTGGGCTGTGTGCTGACAGCGCAGAGCCTGGAGCCTGCTTTGGATTCTGTGTCTCCCTCTCTCTCTGCCCCTCCCCCACCCATGCTCTGTCTCTCTGTGTCTCTCAAAACTAAATAAACATTAAAAAATAAAAAGTAAAACAAAGAAAATCCACAGTGCAAAACTGAATTTACACATCTTTGGGACACACTGGGAGTGTCCCTAACCAGATTAACCCATTAGAAGTCAAACTATTTCTGGTAAGCTATCCTCTATATAGAGAAGCAAAGTTAATTGAACATACCCTCATGATTTGGCTTAGTTGGAACAAGCTGTAGCATCTGTCATTTTCCTGCTGCTGCTTTATAGTGCTCCCAGATTTGAAGAGCTAAATCCTTTCATTTCCTTCCACTTTAGGATTTCTCAGTCTTTCATTGCTTGTGTGCATGCCCACCCATGGACTTCAAGGTTAAACTGACCTTGTCCTGTCCCCAGCCTCCACCCCCAGGCCCCAGTAGTTGTGTGCTTCCTAGATGCCCCCTAGCATGTTTTCTTTCCCTGTGACTGACCACTTGACTTAGTTGGCCTTCCTGAGTTACTTCTTTTCTTCCTTTCCTGCGGTCCACAAACATCTTTGATAACTTCCCTGTAGCCTCAGGCTGCACAATGAGCCATTCTGTTGTCTGAGCTGATATTTTCAAAATACATTCCATCAGCAAATCTAATCCTCCATCCACTTTTACTTTAATCTTCCAAGTCTAGCAGGTTACTAGGTCATACCTCTCACTATGAGCATTACACATATAGCCCCCCCCCCCCCCCCCCCCGCCACACACACATCCACATGTCGTAAGTGTATCTGTAAAGGGGAACATGATACATTCTAATCCGTGGTATATTTCAGGACAGTAGTTTGGAAGCACTTCCTAATTAAGACACTGAAAGAAAGAATGTGGCATTGTGAGGATGTCTCTAAGCTGAACTCCTTTTAGAGGCAGTTAAGATTTTTTTTATCTACAGCACATCTTCACCTCTGTCTTGGAGTAGGCAAGTAACCAAGGACTCTGGTAGATTCAATATTTTAAAATGAATTTACATGTGAACATAAGTTCTTGTTTTAAAAAAATTAGATGACAGCCTTAGATTCCTTCAAATGCGCTCGTTGTGATATTGCTATGCTTTGTAGAAAGAGCTGTTATTTTAGTTTAAGATGTTGGCAGAGAGGGACTATGAGAAGCCTGTGGTTAGCACTGGAACCTTGTACAATGCACACCAATATCACTGTTCATATTTGAAATTGTAAATACAAAATGTGAATTCGAGATGGCATAAGTGACTTTTTAGAAAATATCTTGGTCTTTATCTGTTTTTTTACTTTTCTCTTCTGTAACCTCTGAGATTATAGTACCAGCTATTATTAGCTATTAAAGGAAGTAGGTGTTGCTGTTTTTCTAATTTTTTTTCATGTTTATTTATTTTTATGAGAGTGAGAGACAGAGCCTGAGCAGGGGAGGGGCAGCGAGAAAGGCACAGAATCCAAAGCAGGCTCCAGGCTCTGAGCTGTCAGCACAGAGTCCAATGTGGGGCTTGAACCCATGAACTGTGAGATCAATGACCTGAGCCAAAGTCGGATGCTTAACCAACTGAGCCACCCAGATGCCCTTCTAATGTTTTTTAAATTAAACATCCAAATAAGTGTATCTGGTCATCAGTCATAAGATAAGGCGTCTTTCTGATTTGGGAAGAGATAGATAAGCAAATGCCCCAAATTAATATGGCAGTCATAGCCATGGAAGCAATTTCTAGCCTTCCACTATAATTATTTAGATTAGCTATTTGATTTCCATTAATCAAAAGAAGAAAACTAAGTAACCACAATATGCAACTAACTGTCTGCCTCTGACTTTAAAAATAATGTATTCTGAGTCTCCGCTGACTCTTCATTATATCACAAGTCTAAGCCTGTGTGTGAAAAATAGAGTCGGGGACTGTAATGTAAATGAGGTTTTCCACCCATAGGGGATCAGCTCTGTGAGATTCAGTAAGTATTTAAACAGCTACAAAGGATTTATTAAATAGAAAAGTGCATCCAATACTGATTAGGATATTTTGAGAGAAAGGCACATTAAACCGCAATTTTTAAATAATCAAGTTAGTGAATCACAGTATCAAATGAATTTAATGCTGAAAAGAACCTTAAAGATCAAAGACCAGCCCTCCCATTTTACTAATGAAGCCAAAAGCTTTTTCTATGACCACCTGAAACATTTCAGCTTTTTGAAAGGACCTCAGTTCCACTGAACTCAAGGTCACTGAAGACAGTATTTAATTGTTGCTTATATCCATGGTGTTTGCACAGTGTTAGGAAGTTATTAAACATTCAAAGTATAAGTCTGTGTGATGAATTAGTAATTGATTTTATGAACAAACAATCACCTGTCTGTTGCACAGCGATTTATGTTATATAAAT